AGGTGACAGTGCATGCTGTAGGGATGAAGGCCTGTGAGCAGCTCCTCAGAGGAGCCCAATTCCAGCGCCTGTACTGACCACAGCTGGAATCTTAGCTTCCCCCTCATTGTCTGTTTGTCTTGGTTTCTTCATGCAATCAGAATGGCCCTGTATTTGATCTCTGTCTGTATCTGGCCTTGACCCAGTCCCTTTCCTGCAAAGCAAGAGGTTGTGCACAGTTGGCAAATTTGCCTATGCTCCTTGTTCCTGGCCTTGGACAGGGTCCCAGCCAAATCACCAAGCATCTCATATACCCTTTGGGGAAAAAGATCTTCCCAGCTCTTTCTGGGTTAGCCATGTTTGGACTCTGTAGTTCCAGGTAACACTTAGGGACTATGGCCTACAAGTGGGGACACATGGCTACTGGATGTATCTTATGAGTCTTGACTTTAGGGATAGACAGTACCATACTAAAATTCCCCAGTCTTTAGAAGCACACAACCTTGAGCAAATCACAAAGCCCAGTCTACTTCAGTTGCTTCAAACAGAGTACTGAACAGTTTCATTGTTGTGTCCTTTTTGATCAGGTTGAAGTGGGTGACAGGAAGAATTGGTTCTCATCTCCTAGTATTACTGAGAAATGGATAGCCTATACCTTAGCCTGAGTGGGAACTACCATTCCTTCCTCAGAAAGAGCACTGGACTTTCTTCATCAGCTTGCATCTGCTCATCTTTGCCCGAATCCTTGGGGGTAGGGCTGGAGAGAAATTTGATTTGTTACTTTGGGCAAGTTCTCCTCACTAGATGGCATCCGAGTTTCTGAAGTAGGGCTTTTGCCACCCACATTTGCCAAAAAGCTGTCTGGAAGGAGTGCCAGGGTATTGGAGACCACTCTGACAAGGGACAAAGCTCAGCTAAAGACCAGAAGCCATTGGAGCTCTGCTTTAATCACAGCAGTCACCACTAGACTGGTTTCCACAATATCTGTTTCCCAATACTAACATTGGCTTGACTCCTTCACCTTGGGCTGGGGAAAACTGGTCAGGTCCTTCTAAGGACCATCTGTACTGATTCACCTGCAAAAGAAAAGGACAAGGAGTGTGTGTGGGAGTGGGAGATTCTCCAGCACGAAGGTAGTACCCAACCTCTCCATCTCTCAGCTTTATCCCTGGCAGATGCCTGCTATGGAGGGAAATGAAAATGTACTCTAAATTGGATCTCCCAAATGGCGACATCCAACTGGCTCTAAAAAGTATGAACTCTTGGGTGGTTAAGTACCAGTGCCCAGCAGCAATCAAACAGATGAGCCCCACTCCCTCTGAGCCTCGGGTACCATGCTATTGTTCAGGGGAGCACCAGTAGCCTTCAGAGGGATAGTCAGCAATTGACAAAGCTTTATCCAATGCAGAGCAAAGTGGTCAGGCACCCACCTGTGTATGTTTCCTTTTATTTTTACATGAGATATGTGAAAACAAAGTTGTTACTGGTCTGTGTTGGCTAGTTTTAAGCCAGCTTGACACAGCTAAAATCATCTGAGAGGAGGGAACCTCAATCGAGAAAATGCCTCCAGAAGATCAATCTGTAGGCTATAGGCAAGCCTGTAGGGAATTTTCTTAATTAGTGATTAATGGAGAGGGCCCAGGCCATTGTATGTAGTGCCACCCCCTGACTGGTGATCCTGGGTTCTATATAAAAGCAGGCTGAGCAAGCCATGGGACCCAGCAAGTAAGCAGCATCCTCCATGGGCTCTGCACAAGTTCCTGCCTCTGGGTTCCTGCCTTGTCTTTCCTCAATGGACCATGACTTCAGATATGTAAGCCAATTATAAACCCTTTGCTCCCTAAGTTGCTTTCGGTTATTGATGTTTCATCATAGTAATAGCCCTAGCTAAGACACAGTCTAAACCATGGAAGGAGCCTTGGGGTCATGAAGTCCAAGTTTATTTTATAGATATGGGCACTGAGGCCCAGAGGCAATTGACTAGTTTGGGGAAGTAATGGTGTCCAGAGACAGTGTCCCACAGGGTTACAGGGTCTCAGCTCTGACTCAGCGCTGCAGATAGAGGCTAATTTCCCTGTCACAGCGTGGTTTATTTTGAAGGCACCCCAATGGAAAGCCCTTGATTCAGTAACCAAGGATCTCCACTTCTCTTTCATATATAGTCATCACCAAATGTTAGTTTGCAGCTTAGGTGGACTGTCTTCATAGTTACCTGTGAATTATGATGTATAATATTTGGCTCTATGGAATAAAGCCCCCTTAACCCATTTTATTACCGAAATACAAATGTGTCCCCATTGCCATTAGCATGTAATAATGGGTGTAGAAAGTATAAAGTAAGGAGTCACATGTGAAAATATCACATGACTGTTTTAGAGGCTATTTATCCTGGTTAAGAACCTTCCATTTTGAGAAAGTTGTGGTGGTGCACCCATTTAATCCCAGCACTCTAGGAGCAGAAGCAGGCAGATATCTGTGATTTCAAAGCCAGTCCCTACACAGTGAGTTCTAGGACTCAGAGCCAGGACTACATAGAGAGACCCTGTCTCAAAAATAAGATAAAACCTCAAAAACAAAACAAAACAAACCTAAACAAATAAAATTCAGGCTTGATCCTTTGCTTAATCTCAAGATACCCCCTCCAGATGCCATCACTGAGGTCACCTAGAAGACCTAGGGCAGCAGGATCCCATAAGGCCCTTTGCTCCTTGCTGCCCTCTCCTTCCTCAGTCCTCCACTGATGGGGTACTGGATAGAATCTTAAAGAGTAACAAGAGCCCACCTGATATTTCATCCCAGATATGTAATGCATGAGTGTGTGTGTGTGTGTGTGTGCGCGCGCGTGCACTCTTCTAAGCATAGGGCACAAGAGGGGAATTCAACTGTAATTGTCAAGGTTCATTGAAGCTGGTGGTGGTTCATGGGTCTTAATTCACAATATTTTTTCCTGAATCTTATTTATCTAAAATATTAAAGAAAAGGAACAAAGAAAAGCACCAGGCTGCTAACCCCTTTGAAAATGATTTATTTCCCACTGCCAAGATCTATGTTCCAAAGTGTGACCAGACATGTGACCACAATGTCTCATGCGTCTTTTTGTGCTTTTATTTGGGACTGCATAATGAACACGCAGCATGTAACAACAGGAAACACCAAGGGCAGAAACACCCCACAGGACTAACTTTCCCCTCCAAAGATTCCCACTTCAGTTCAGTTCGGAGACTGCCGTCTTCCCCCAGAGCGGCAGCTGAGAGCAGCTCGACAGAGCTACTCTCCCGACTCCTGCTATCTGTTGTTTCCATTAAGGTGATGGATTATTCACCACTTGTCCCTAGAGTCATCTCAATCAGAATGGACAGACATATGCAAGGTCTTGGTGGGCAAACACTCAACAGATAGATACCTAGTTAACATTAGGAAGGAACTCAAGGAGAACTGAGGGTGAACTCCTATCTGCTCAGCAACAGCCCAGCCTGAAATGGCCTCTCGCTTTATTTTCGCCTCAGCTTGAGTCTCTTGCCAGAAAGTGTTCCCTGGCAAAGACTTAGTTTCCTTCCCACTGATCCCAACTGTTCACAAATTTCAGCTGATTCAGAGGCAACTTACAAGCATGGCTGGAAACAAGCAAAGCCGTTTTAAAGGGTGATGGAAGGTTCTTGATTCATCCATCTGATACCTCTGAGTAATTTACAGAAGTTTTAGAGAGAGACCACAGTCATGAGAGGAGTTAGGAAGTGCCATCAGGTGAGCAGGGACAACTGCTTGTCTTCTGAAATTAGTCTAGCAGGCTCCCATCATATCAGTGCTGTGCTACAGATGGCCACACTAGGGCGCTGCAGAGCAAGGAAGTAACTGGCAACCTGAATTTTGCTCACAGGTAGCTAAGCCTGCAGCCACTTACATTTAATTCCCAGGAGGGGCATCTATTGGAAATACCAACTGAGGCAGATATTTCCAAACTTAGCTTCTTATTATTTTCCAGTTGAAGAGACGTGTCCCCTAAACTGGAGAGAGGCCACATTTCCTCTTTAAGTTGTCATTCCACCCTGTCATTCACTCAGCCAGATGGAACAGACCAAGCTCAGAGCTGCTTCTTCCTGAAGTACAGGCACACTGAGAAGGACGGGTCTGTCCCACAGAGTCAGCTGAGGGTGAGGGGGACACTGGTGGACATGTCAGCTACCCCTCAGAATGTGGCAACCACCCCAGACTTGTCAGGGAAAGGGTTCCTTAGGTATGTTAAAAAGCAAACAAAAACCCACCCTGATTTCTTAAATAAAAGAGTCAAAGCACACAATACATTTCCAGAGTGGGATACAAATAGTAAAAATAGAAAAGGGGGGAATTAAAGTAAGCAGAGAGTTCCTTTCTTCACACTGCCCTGGTGTGGGGCTCCTGGAGGACAAGGTTGGAACAACTGTCTGAATAGTGTAGAAGGAATCTCATCAGGCACAGCCCCTCCTACTCTACTACAGGTGTCCAATACTTGTTAAGGATAGATGGCCCATGTATTCCACTCAGAGCATCAATGTGGCATGACCCCCAGTGGCCTAAGGACTGACTGGCCAGCCATTGGTTCTCAACCTCCTTAATGGTGAGACTCTTTAACATAACTCATGTTATGGTGACCTCCAACCATAAAATCATGTTCATTTCTACTTCGTAACTAATTTTGCTACTGTTGTGAATCATAATGTAAAGATTTTTGGAGATAGAGGTTTACCAAAGGGGTCAGGACTCACAGGTTGAGAACTAATGCTTTAGACTAAAGTGAGCCAGGACTGCCCACAGAGTGTACCTGACACACATCTTTTTCCATAATACAGATGATCAAGACACAGTCTTCTGAGTGACCCTGATGTGCCAGTCCCGCTCACTGCCTGGTGACTCTGCTGGCTTTTTAGTATTGGGAATATTGAAAGAGAGGAATGAGGGCCTGGATTCAGCCAACAGGGCTACATGTCTTTGGGTGTAGGCATGTGGACCGGGACTTGAGAGGATGACTGACATCTGAGCCTGGAGGATGACTATGCCCAAGAAGGTCAAGGTTGGTGGCCAGCAGCTGACTACATGTGCAGTTGGTGCCACATGGCAATCTGGCGGCGTGGGTTTTTTAGCATCTCCTCCCAGTGGCTGCGCTCAGAGCCAGAGGCATGCAGACCTAGGCTGCAATGGCCCAGCTCACAGCTCGGGCCCTCCTCTCCCTGGCCCAGCACCTCCAGCTCCACACTGGATGCCCGCAGCAGGTCATCTGGTAGCTCAAACATGATCATCTCATTCCACACAGGGTTGATCTTGTGCTTGGCCCGTTTTGTCTGTTTCTTCTTCAGCTTCTGAGCCTGGTGCTTCAAGGTTACCTTGACAGAGACATCTGGGGAAGGGTAAAGAGGAAAGAAAGTCTGTGTATGGTGGGGTGTGAGCTGCTAGGGTCTGATGGCACCTGGAATATACCTCCACTGGATCATGCCTGATGAGTGATCATCAGGTATTAAGTATCTACTAAAGGGCAGGCACTGGTCTAGATTTAGGAATCTGACTACAAGTGCCGACAAAGTTGTCACATCTGTAACTTACACTAGAATGTGAGAGACTGTGCATACAGGTTGAGTACATGTAAGGTTTGGGACCATAAACCTTACAGATTTGGGGTGTTTTTCAGACTTGGGGAATATTTGCATATATATTTTAGAAAATACCTTGGGGATGGGACTCAAATGCAAGTATAAAATTCATTTAATGATTATTTTTTTCTTGAACCTAGGGCCTTACACACACTAAGCAAGCATTCTACCACTGAGCAAAATCTCCAGCTTTCTTTTTCTTTTTGATTTTGGAACAGAGTTGCACTATATCATTCCAGCTGGTCTTAAACTTCCTCTGCAACCCAGGCAGGCCTGGAACTTGAGGTCTTCCTGCCTTCACAGTAGCTAGGATTCCAGACCTACAGCCCTAGTTTCACAAGCATCTTATGCACACAGCTTGAAAATTCTTTTACACAACATAAATCCAAGTGTTTAGGAGTAGAATTCTCCACTAGTGGTCAGGAGCATTCAGATGTTGGCATTTATTGGATTTGGGACATTTCGATTAGAGATACATAATCTGTCACAAAACAATGGAAGTCAGTGGGTGACTCAGACATGGGCATGTCAGAGGGCTTCTGGGGAACCATCTTGGCCATAAGCCCTTCTAAGTGACTTGCCAAACCAAGTCAGGGACACGGCTTAGGTGTCCTCCAGTTCAATTTCCAATCAGACCAGAAAAAAAATCAGTGTTCTCCCTCCTCATCTTCTTCATTCTCTATTCAAGCCTTTGTGTCCGTTTTTAAAATGGTGAGTGACCCCTCCCCACCAGCTGGCTGAGTTCTGGTCACTTGTGTCTTATTCTAAGTTTTACTTGAGGACCTGGATTTCCTAGGGTGAAGGCAGGCTCCCTGGGCTCAAGTCCCCAGGAAATCCCAAGTCAGCAGGCAAGCTTCCACAGCTTAGGACATTTTGTTTTCATTAGTCAAGGTTGCCCAAACTAATGTGAGAATAATTGTTACTTTGTATTTATTGCTATCGTTATCGCCCCTGGGTGGTTAGTTTGTTATTTCTACAGAGATATTTCAAACACAAAGTGCTCTTCTGTAATGGTCCTAATGGGATCTATTTACAAAAAAAAAAAAAAAAAAAAAAAAAAAAGCAAGACAGAATTGACTGGAAGGGATGAAGCGCAAGGCATCCACCTCTGACCTATGGCTCAGGACTGCAACAGTCCTTCTGCTTTAATTTGCCCAAGACCTGTTAGGAATGCACAGGTGAAGCTGTTTTGTAACACATATATATGTACATATATATATATATATGTGTGTGTGTGTGTGTGTGTGTGTGTGTGTGTGTGTGGTTTCTGGGTTATTGAGATCTTGCTTTGTGTGCAATTATGGCCCAGCTCATCCTTGCTGCTTTCTTGCTTTGTTAGGAGTGTCTGCTTGGTCCCCATGGCTAGGGACCTGTGCCCAGGTATCAGAAGGCAACCCAAAACCTACAGCCTTTTATGAAGAAGCTTATGTAGGCATCCATGCTATAGGCTCCTTAGGCCTTAGACTTTACCCCCATAGCCACACATCAGCTGCTGTCACCCATGCTCAGCAGGTGTGTATGGGAGCATTTGGTCAAGGCTTGGGGCAGAGAAAAAGTGGGCGCATGTAGCAGAGATGTGAGAGAATTTAAAAGCATCAGTGTGTCTGTCAGAACTGACTAGTGTATCCTGGGCAACAGATGCTGACAGTGACTCCACAACTGGACTCCTATCATCCCCTTGTTCTCCCATCTCCATTTTATCCCAGGTACCACTGCCTTCTGCATGCATCCTAGAGCTGGGGCACCCTGCCTGTCCCCTTGCAGCCTCACTTACCCTTGCCCAGAAGTTCCTTTGATTGATTGGAGTGGAGGTTCTTGGCTTTAATCAGCACCACCAGGAGGCGATTGGCAGCTGGGAGATAGCTGATTGACAGAAGGACCTCCCCAGTCCCTGCAGATGGCTCCTGAAAGCAGGAAGGCAGGGGATTGCACTGGAGTCTGGCTTCTGACCCATCAGCTGAAGCTGAGACTTGAGTCACACTGCCCTCATAACCCACAAATATTGCAGGATCCATTCACCTAAGGTTAGTTTATCTACCATTGCACAAGGCAGCAGGGTCCAGAGGAAGGGGACTGACATGTGTGTCATCAGGAATCTTGGACGACCATATGTTATTTTTCTGTGTTTTTTTTTTTTTTTTGTTTCTTTTCTTTTCTTTCTTATTTATTTATTCGTTTATTTATTTATTTATTTATAGTGTCTCACTACATAACCCTGGCTGGCCCAAAACTCACTATGAACATCAAGCTGACCTCAAACTCACAGAGGTTCACCTGCCGCTCCTTCTAGAGTCCTGGAATTAGGCATGAGCTACCACACTCTGGCACATGCTATCCCTTTAAATCTAATTTATAAACAGAAAATAGCCTCCAATGCAGGCTACATTGAGGGCAGAAATCAGGGGCTCCTCTCTTTTTCTTAGACTCTGGGGGTACCTTAGTAGAACTCTAGGGTCCTAGGAACCCCAGTTTTAGATTCAGGCTCCTGGGTGAGTAGAGAGTTATTTCTTTTTCACCTTGATTTTACTTATTTTTAAGCATATGTTTATATGTATGTCTCTGTGTGAGTATGTGCATGTGTGAGTGCAGGTCAACAGATCCCTCGAAGCTGGGGTTACAGGTAGCTGTGTGTCACCTAATGTGCGTGATGGAACTTGGATCCTCTTTAGGAGTGGTAGGAGCTCTCAATTGCTGAGCCATTTCCCCAGCCCCAAGTTGTCAATTTCTTTGCTTGAAGAGGTAACTCCAGCTTTGCAGGCCAACATCACCAAGAAAGTGGCTGTCCTCATGCTCACAAGGACTGGATTCACCAACAGGAGCCAGGGGGTGTAGTCCAAGGAGATACGGATCCTCTAGGAAGCTCCTCTAGGTGCTCCACCCACCCCCTATGCTGATTTACAGTGTCCCCTAGCAACCTCCTGCTGGAGTGTAAAATGTTGCCATGTCCTTTGAGGAACCTTTCCCTGCTCTGTGGCACAGCTTTAGTAGCCTGTCCTTTCTTGCTGCACAGTGAAGGGATTCAGGGAGCCCTTTCCCCACCCAAATACTGAGGTCACTGTGAGTGGTCACAGAGCCCTTTACCTCCTTCAGTCACACTTGCACAGGACTCAGCTATGGTTAGTGGAAGCCTGCTGTGTGTTCAAAGCACACCCTCTGTCTCAGAGCACGTCTGTCATCCAGGACAAGAGTCTCTACCATGACCCCCAATGGCTCATTCTTCCCCAGGGACTCTTTTGAAATTGTCCTTTGCTCTTGAGGGAGGAGCCAGTTCTCCATCCTAATTGACTGTCGTTTGTTCCTGTAATCTTTTCTCCGTTTTTGAGTTGTTTCAGGTTCTAAGAATTGGGGAACCTGCAGGCCATTACCTTATGTTGGGAACTGAACCCCACAAAGCAGTAGTGATAGAAGCAAGAAAATGCCACCCACACCTTCATCCCCACAAGTGCCATTATTGTGTCATCTTGGAGCTCCTGTCAGGACAGGGAGGCAGACAGCATTCTAGAGTGTTGCTAGACATGCCACATTCCTGATGTAGTGTGGGCAACAAGATTCCTGCTCTGCCCCTTCATGCCTTTGCTAATTGGACCCTTGAGGCAGCCGGTGGTCAAGCCTGGTCTGCTGAGATGCCCAGAGGCAGGCCTTGCACTTGAGATTCCAGCAGAATTTAATCAGCTATAGGTGGCTAGTCACATGACAAACTGATCAGGAAGTCTCAGGGAATCTTGGGATGACACATGTGCAGTTCTATTTGACAAGCACACTGAATCCATGCAAGTATGTTTCCTGTCCCACTAGACTGCAGGTTCATTGCACACCCCTGGTACCAGGCATGCTCTGAACACAAAATAAATGTTTGCCAGAAAAATTGCAGACATCTCTCTTCATCTTGGCAATGACCTTGAGAAAGGCACTGAATTCTCATTCTAGCAGGAGAGCCAAGTGGGACTTGTTACCACCAGGGTCAGTAGCTATGGCAGCAAATCTGAGACTCCTGTGAAGTCTGCTCTAAGGGAGCCCAAGTCCCAGGTCACTGCTCTAGCTTCCTAGGCGGACAGTATCTCCTAGTGCTCTCATTTTACAATAGAGGTCTGGAACAGGTGCTAAAATCATAGCCCTGGACAGCGCTCCAAAGCTGGTCTGGGCTGTGGTTATGGATGACCAGCCTGAGCCCTCTGCTCCTCATAGAGCAGGCCGGCATCTTTGCAGAGCTTTCTCTCATGTGTGTGAGTGAAAGCCAGGACCAGCCTTGTGGATGCTGTCATACAAGAGAACCACAGTAACACCTGACCAGGTTCAGATGCTCAGAGACCCCCAAGTGAAAGCAGCCCCTTTCTTCTCCTTTCTCCTGTCTCTCTCCACCCCCTTTTCTCTCAGATGCCCAATGAATCACTCCAAGCTGCCCTCAGAGTGGGGTGCTCTGTTGTCTGTAATGACGCACATGCCACTTTTGGCTAAATGTCTTCCGGCTGGAACTAGGGCACTGCTGCCACCTCTGTTAACCCATTCAATCCCAGAAAAGAAAAAAAAATCTGAATTGCAATAACTGCAGATCTTTTCACCAGCTTCAAATCAGCCTTCATTCTCCATCTGGGTGGGGCTTCCTGACCTGGCCTGGAGCTTGATGCTGCCCCCGACACTGCCCGGAGGGAAAGAGATGCGCCTGGCTATCTGTGGAGTGGTGACAGCTGCAGCAAGAGTGATGACATTAAGATGGATGAGCCTGACGACAGGACTCCGCTGCAGCTGTGGCATGCTGCCTGGGACACAGTAGGGGTTAGGTGAGGTGCTTGTGAATGAGTGATTGCTGTCTTCTGGGGAATGGACAGAAACAGGCAAGACACCCAGGATTTCTGTCTCTGTGAGGTGTGTTTCAGCCCTTCTTGGGTGTTACTGAAACACCCATGCCTGGTAGGGGAACCTCCTAAATTCCAGAAAAGGCCAGCTCATCAGTTTAATAAGCCTACATGTCTTCTTTCCCATCAGGGGCCCTGTCTGTGACCCCACATGCATCCCAAATCACATACCAATTAGAAAGTAGACATTGGGACAGCAGGTCTCAAAGGATGGCTGTAGCTTTTCCTACCAATTTACTAAGCTAAGGGAAAAAGGTGGGGGGGGGGCAAACAACAACAAAAACCAAACAAACAGGAAAATGGGGCCCAGAAGAAATGATGACCCAAAGAGAAGCTCTCTCTGTCCTGTAGTCCAGGCTTGCAGAGGAAAGACCCCTGCCTGTCACCTCCTCTGGCAGGTGCGTGGCAGTTGAGAAAAGCACCCAGGATGAGTCAGGAGATTATGCCATTGAGGCTGAGCTATCTGCCCTGTCTGGTCTGCCAATGCTGTGTAGATTCCAAATCAGATCAGCCTCAGTTTCCCCTGTGTGTAGAGAAGGTGGTCACAGTGCTGCCCTCACCTGCCTGGGTTGGGCAGCAAAGACTAGAAGGAAGATGTCTCCCTGAGCTGAGCCACTGAGATGGGTGCACAGAAATGGTGTCTCCGTGGGCAGGTTGGCAACTTGCTTTATCCAGAAAGGGTTGTGGGAAAGGCTTACAACTTTGTGGGCCCTGACAGCAGATCCAGACTGGTTTAGCCTGGGTTCCATGACTGTATGTAGCCTCATGGTCCAAAGATTGTTGTGCATGTTGCCCAGTGCAAAACCATAGACTTACTTAAAACACTCTAAGATTATTTTGTAACTTTCTTTTTTATAAAACTTGATTTCATGGTTCTTGATAATGACCTTTGTAAACGAAAACATCATGTCCCAATGTCAAAAGGTTGGAAACATCTTAGTGCTATACAACAGCTAATTGACAGGTCATTATCAGAAGTTCCCTGGAGGCTGCTCCGGGGCAGGCTCTTGGATGGACACTGAGGACTTATACACAATCCCTGTCCCGCCTTGACCCTATGCTGTCATGGCCTGTGGGTGAACATGGCTTCCTCCCCAAAGAGCCCAGGGTCTCAGCAACCTCCACAGCAGACACCAGCCAAGAACAGTATCTGTGCAGACCACTGACTTTGCTCTGGTCCTCATAGAACCGAGGTACCTCATTTAGAGTCAGTGTCGGCTCCCCTGCCTCCCAGGCCTCCCTGAACTCTCCATCCGAGCACGCATAGGCTCTGCTCTGCTATCTCAGGCTGTAACACCTGTCTCACACCAGCTGCCGGCAGTCAGCTGTATCAGTTTGCCTTGGGTCTGCATACTGTGAGGGCAGAGGGGCTCTGTGCTTCCTTCCTCTGCTCACTTCCACAGGGCAAAGCTTGAGAGAAGCATAAGAACCATGACTGGATTTAGGTGAGGGCAACTCTGCCATAGATAGCATGGAAGTGGTGGCAGGGGTAAGAGGCACCGCTTGGAACAGGTGCCAGGAATCCCAAGTTCTGGGCCACAAATCTGCCGTAGACTCTGATCAGGAGCCCACGTTGCCCTTTGTCTGAGATGAGAATGTCTCTGAGCCTTGTTTCTCCATCTCAGTGTTCTGCTCCCACCCTCTGCCAGCCAGCTTTCCCTCGATGGTCTATAAAGCCCTACCTTTGCTGTGGTCTTCAGCTCACCCCACTGTGCTGCCCCCAGGGGCACAGATGCTCCATCTAGGCTCAGGCGGAGTTCCCCAATCACACTATGGCGGGAGAAGCGGTCACAGGTGCGCAGGGTGAGTGTTAGGGTGGCTGTGGGCAGCTCATCCTCACCCAGGGGCAGGGCTAGGCCCTCCTCCCAGGTGGTGTGCAGCTGCCGTTTCTTCAGAGCTGTCTGTGCCTCCACAGAGCCGGTCTTAATGGTCACACTGCCTTGGATGTAACAGTCACAGCCTCCTTCATGGTCACTGGTGACAGCTGCAGGCAAGCACAGAACAAGACAGACCTGGGACTTCCCGGGGATGGGAGGTGTAGGTCCCTAGACAGGGCTGCAGGACACAGGTGACCTTGGGTGTCTTCAGGGCCCTGGAGTGACCACTATATTCCATCACTGTGCAACTATCTTGTAGGGAAAGTTCTCAAAATAGGACATCATGGGGCAGGGGTGAGTTTTCACTGGATAACAGGGACAAGAGGAGGCACTTTCTAGACCTCAAGATTCAGAGATGCCCCCACGGGTGTCAAGGCCCCAAAGAGCTTTTGTTAGGATAGCTACCAATGCTGTGACTCATTTGTTTCTGCTTTTTAAATATTTACCACACAGCCACAGCCACTTGTGATCTGAATCACCCGGCTGCTGCCTCATGAATGTTGCTTCCGATTCTCGACCTTGATGTTCTGAATGTGTCACACTGTGGATTGTGTTAGTCAGCTTTCTGACATTATAACAGATAACTGAGAGAATCAACTCATAAAGTAAAAAGGTTTACTTGGGCCCATAGTTCCAGAAACTCTAGCCTATGAGATCAGTGGCTACATCATTAGTGCAGCAGCATGTCATGGAGGAATCCCATGACTGAGCAGAACAATTCTTGTCATGGCAAGGAAGCAAATGAGGGTGAGAGAAAGAGGCCAGGAGCTTGGGGAGCAAGTGCTAGCCACATGCACCTTTGGGGACAGTTAGGAATCCAACCATAGCACTTTGTGAATCCCTTAGCCGGCGTTTGGCTAGTCTGATTGGCTTTGGTCTTTAACCTCACCAGGAAAGAGATCTGGGTCTCCCACACAGTGTGCCCACTCTGTACCACTGAGCTCCTCCCCTGATGACAAGTGTTTCTGTGGTGTCATGGCATGGCTGCAGATCTTCCTCCAAGACACTCTGGTGACAGTCTCTTCAGTGAGGACACTGACATTCCACAGAGAGAGATGTGATGAACCCTGTGTCTACAAATGAGGCCTGAAGACCTGACATCCCAACAGACCATAGCTTCCTCCTGAGCTTCAAGGATATGTTTATTCCTGGCTCAGTCACTGGTTACCAAAGTAACCTGGACCCCTCATAGAAGAGACTAGAACTCAGTTTCCTAATCTGTCAAACGGTACTTCCCTGGGGGCCAGATGGACTATAAAGTACATGGAAGTCATTAAACATCTTAAACAACTGTAAAATGGGGAAACTCTCACTCAAGTTAGGAAACCAGGGGCTGAGGGAAAGCTTAGAGGTAGAACACTTACTATTGTGTTTGAAGCTCTGATTTTCATCCCCAGGACCAAGCACAACTCAAGACTGATACGCGGTATATGATAGTTAGCTTTGTCAACTTGGCAACAAATCTCCAGGCATGTCCAGGAGGGAGCTTTTAGACTTGGAAGACCCACTGTCATTGAGGAAGGCACCTCAGGGCTGAGGTCCTAGGCTGAACTAAAAATGGAGCCCTAGAGCTCATCACTCTCTGCTTCCTGACTGTAGACACAATTTGATTGGCTGCCGTGACTTCTGCACCATGGGATGTGATGGACACGTACCTCAAACTGTTAGCCAAATGAATCCTTCCTCTTTAAATTGCCCTTGTCAGGGTATTTTACCACAACAAGTAGACAACTAACTAATGCAAGTTGGGCTCTTAAAATGTACTGCAAAGGCTGTGGCTGAAGGCTCGGCCCTTGGCTGATGGTGCTCTAGGGAGGTGAGACTAGAAGGAAATCAGTCACTGGGCATATTCTTCAATAGGATATCGGGACTTCACCACCCCCTGCTTCCTTGCCACTGTAAGGTCAGTGGCTTTGCTCAGTGTGCCCTCTTTGCCTCGGTGTTCTGCCTACTGTGATGTTCTGCCTACCACAAGCCCAAAGGCAACAGGGCCAACCAGAGACTAAATGAAACCTCTGGAAGTGGTTTCTCGCCTCCTTTTAAGTCCCCCTCCTCAGGTATTTTGTTACAGCAATAGAAAGTTGGCTAACACAGAAACAAAAGAAATTAGGAACAAGCACACAGCACAGCTGACTCCATCACTGAGCCCTCCTTTCTTTGCAGTTTTAACTTTGTTGCCAGTAAGGTGTACCTGTCAGTGCATCTGTTCCCAGGACAAACTACCAGATTCTGAGAAAGTTCTCAGAACTTTGAAAGACTCTTTGCCCGGCATAAACCCCTGTTCAATGTCAAAGGCACTGCTGGCATTGGCTGCTAGCTGCTCATCAGTTACTCATCTCTTCTCCCCATCCTCTTGGGCAGCCTGCCAGACCACAGTTCCTAGGATCCCTGGCAACAAAGTGTGGCCAAGTGATGAGGTTCCAACCAATGGGATGTGAGCAGAAGTGGCTCATGCTGTGTCCATTAAGACTATTGGAAAATGACTGTGTCTTCTTCTAGTTCTTGTCTTATTAGCTAGAAGCAGCCAGCAGGACTCCCGAGGAGCTTAGGGAACTACAGGTGGAAGGGATTGGTCCTTGAGTCACCATGAAGAGGAAAGGTGTCCACCAGCCAGAAACCCCTTCTTTGCAAGGTTATAGGAGGGAGGTGGAAGAATCTCTGTGTCTGAGCATCATGCATGAGGAGCTGTTTGTCAGAATGCTAACCCTTGCTCTCTCACCCACCCATCCCACCAGTAGGGCATACACAAGTCCCTGCCAATCACACAAAGCAGTACCTTCCAGGCTAGTCACAAATAACTCAGCCTTCTTCTGATCGTAGTCCAGGCGAAAGTGGAGTTTGGGGGCCTGGTTCCAGCTAGCAGCCTTCTCTGGGTTCCAGGTCTCCATGACACAGACATCCTCCACCACACCTGGGAGATAGAAAGAGTGGCTGTGGCTATCATGTTGGGGTTCTGGTTCCCTGATCATATCATGTTATCTCTGCCGTTTAAGCCATGGGCCCAAAACCATCTCAAAAGGAGGCTATGGGATTGTTGGGGTCCACTGGTCAATATGTGGGCTTTGGTGCCATACTGACACTGCCACATAGTATCTGGGCATTATTTAGGGGATGCTTTCAGCTCTGTACTTGGTCCCACAAGGAAAGCTGTCACAGCCTCTTTGGCGGTTCTGGTGGAGCATGGAATTGTGGGCAAATCTCACAGGAATGAACTGGTGGAGATAATAGCAAAGAATTATTCCAGAGTAGATGCCACTGGCAAGGATGGTGGCTTTGACTTTAACTTATGTGCTTTCAACATTTGCTGAGTGAATCTTATCTTTAACCAAGAAGGTCCTGGGAGCTAGAGAGATGGCTTAGTGGTTAAGAGCACTAACTGTTCTTCCAGAGGACCCAGGTTCAAGTCCCAGCACCCACATGGCAGCTCACGAAGGTCTGTAACCTCAGTTTCAGGGGATCTGACATCCTCACAAAGACATACATGCAGACAAAACATCATTACACATAAAATATAAGTTAATTGATTAATTAATAAAGGAAGGTCCTAACACTGCCAAGAAAACTCAGCATTGCTGGCTCCACTCTTCTCTTGATTCAGAACCTAACATGTGAAAGATCTCAGGAGTCAAGCCTAGAACGAGAACTAAGAAGCCACAGTGGCTGCCTCAGATAACCAGAACTGAACCAAAGGTCCTCAGAATGAATCAGAAGGCAGGACTCTAGATGACTGTTAATGTCCCCAAGGGCTCATTATTACATTCCTGCTACAAAGGGCCCTCTAGGGAGCAGATTGACCGAGACACACGTGTGCAGGATGCACTTGGCTCCCAAAGCCCTCCTGAGGACACTGAAGCAGACTGGGTGAGAAGAGACTTAGTGGTACCCAGAGCTCTTAGTGCTCGCTCAGGCAGCCTCAGCCTGAAAACCCAGACCCAAACCCCACTCATCTGATATCTCTTATCCCTGGCTGTGACATCTATAAGCTCACTCTGCAGCCGCCTTTCCCAAGTGACCAAGAGACAGTGCCATGTGAGTGGCAGAATATGGATTACTATAGTGAGGGGAGCAGTGGGGCTGGCGGGGGTGAGAGGTGTCAAACACATTCAGTGCATCAATGGGCGTGTTGGCTGAAGTGGCCAATGCTGCCAACTGTCTGTGGATCAGAACCAGGCTGCTGTCCTATGGGATGGGAAAGAAAAGGAAGAAAGGAGTGGGTGTGTGCTGCATTCTTTGCAGCCAGGCACTGCTTCCCCTGGGGGAGGGTTCCATCCAAACATGGAGCCATCAGGGACTCCTGAGAGAGGCTCTGACTGCGGGAACCACCCCCAAGAGTACTCATCCCCATCAGTCTTGCCTGACTTTCTACTCTCAACTCTTCAAGTTTGAATCTATTTAAAATGTGGGCGGGGAAGAGCCTGGATGCTGACAGCCAAGAGGATCGGCCCATTTGCAGATTGAAGTGGTCTTTAAAAAGCCCCTGCAGCAGGCCACCTGCCCACTGGCCACCAGGAATCCACATGAACCTGGGTACTGTCAAAGCTCCTGCTTCCTGCATTGCCACATACAGCCAACCTAGACCACAGAACTGGCCACCTTCTTAGTCTTAGGATTGTCTGTCTCAGAATCTTCTGTGTTCCTGCTGGTAAAGGCCGGTGCCTCAGCTACCCTGTTATCCCCCTGGCTGCACCATGCTGGCCAGCTATGATGCTGCCTTCTGAAGGCTGATGCTCATAGAGAGAACAGGGCAATAGCAATAGTTAGTTTGAGCTGATCCCTGCTTCGGGCATTTTATTTTAGTCATTATAGGGATAATACGATCCCACTTCATTGAGGAGGAGGAGGATGTCCTAGAGAGACTTGGCAGCATGTCCAATGTCACACAGCAAGCATGTAAAAAGGCAGAGAATTAGGCACAAATCAGAAGCTTGTTTCTAACCTTGATTTAAAAAAAATCCCTTATGTAATCACACACTAAGATCTGAAGGAGACTCCTCAGTTCTCACAGGAAGGCTGGGTGCCAAACAATGGGGTGCACCCACGGCACCATGCCAGGGCTCCTAGCAGCCTTGGCAGGTCACACACTGTATCAGAAGACACTGGCAAGCCCCTCCCTACCCCCATGCTGCCCTCCAGGGGCAGGGAACCCTACCATTCTGAGGAAGAATGAACAGCTCCTCTGTGACCTGCCTCTTAAGGCGACTGTCACTCTGGGCCTGGGGACTGGCAGGTGCAGCAGACTCCTCTGTGGACCCCAGAGTGTAGTCTACGTAGTTGATGACTTCTGGGGCTGTCACTGCTGGCCGGGGACCATAGATGTCTGGGAACTTGAGAAGAGGTCGGGGCTGGACAGGCTCCGTTGACTTTTTAACGTTGAACTACAAATGTGAATAGAACTGATTAGTTGGTGTGTGCAGAAAGGCATGGGACCATCTCAACCTCAAGAAGAAGTGGGGGGCCCTGACTTCTTGTAGGAGGTTTGCTTCCATCCTGCCCCAGAGAGCATGGCCTGGGAAGGAAAAATGTCACTTCTAACCCCTTGAGAAAACATGTTGAAGGATGCCATACTCCATCATTCACCTTCCCCATCCCTCCCTATCCATCCCTGGGTGCCATCATGCTTATCCCGTGCACCCTCCTTTGCCCCCTCTCCATCTATTCATCCCCTTTCACTGGCTGAGATGTCAATGGTTGGTCCTCACCACACCTACAAAATCCAAACTCCCTGCAGTGACCTGTAAGAGCCTGCCTTATCTGGTCCACTGGGCTCTCACACTGCCCAAATCTGTCTACCCCCTTTTAAGACCCCAAAGGCCATCTCTGATCCACCCCATCACCCATCTAAACTATACCTACCTCTCCTCACCACCACATCTGGTCTTTGGCTCATAGTACTAGCCTCCCTGATATGTTTTAGCTAGAGCTGGGCCACTTTGATCAGGACGTTTTGCCTCTCTGGGCTGTTGCCCTAAATGACACAGCTGAGCTGTGCTTCAGATTGTAAAGAGGTAGGTGACACTGTCCTTTGGAGAGATATCTCAAACAGGGGAAGTAAGGATGAGCCCAGCTGACTGGTGAGGAAATGTCACAGCAGCAGGTCAAGGGCAGAGCATGTGATCCACTGGTTTGACCTTAACCTTGAGGGAGGGAGGCGGGTAGAAGGCAGAAGGACCATGTCCCTGACATCTAGTAATACGGAGCCACCTCCTCTATCTCACTTAAGTGTGGGTTCCATTTGTTTTACTATTTCACAGTGGGGAAACTGAGACTCAGACATACTCAGAGCCATCCAGAGTCACTACAACAGTGGTTCTCAACCATCCTAGTACCGCAATCCTTTAATACAGTTCCTCATGTTGAGGGGATCCTAACCATGAAGTTATTTTTGTTTCCACTTAATAACTTTAATTTTGTTACTGTTATGAATTTCAATTTAAATACCTGTGTTTTATGATAGCCTTAGGCAACCCCTGTGAAAAGTCATTCAATAGCCTCCCCACAAAGGGTTGTGACCCACAGGTTGAGAATCATTGCACTAGAGACTTAGACCAGATTCCATACCAGTTACCTGTTGGTATCAGCTGTCTTGACCACTGCCAGTGACCAAATGGCAATTGCAGCACCCTGGTCCAGCCTCAGATGCTCTACCTTGTTCCTTAGCCCCAAAGAACTCCTAGAGGCTGCCCAGCCACCCTTGACTCAGAGCCACTCTGTCTGTCACATATTTGGCACTACAAGTGAGTCTCTGCAGGTGGCTTGGGGAACACGTTCATGTTTGATTTGATTTCATTCTAGTACAATTGTTTTATAGACTGGCTGGCTTTAATTCTTGGGTGAGACTCATGGCTGGCTGAACTTGTGGTTTTGATAGGGAACTCATCACTGGCTCCAGGAATAAATGAGGTCCTCCATGGGGCCCTTCACAGGCCCAGGGCATGCTTTCCTGCTTACTCTAAAGCAAAATGACAGAGGCCCCTCCACCCACATTCCCACCATATTACCTGGTTGTCTAGGGCCATCTTCAGCCCTTAGACTGTGATTGCTTGCTCTGATACTCCTATCCATGGAATTACCTTGGTGACTTTTCCTGCTCTGGGGTTGGAGGACACCTGTCCTAGGAATGCCAGCCCAGATGCTATTGTGGGCATGTTCTCCACTAGATAGAATACATCTCCACTAGGCAGATAGTACATGGCCCGGTCTTGTGACTGCAAGATGAGTCAGAGTTAGGACAAAGCCAGCACCATGCATTAAGGATGGAAGGACATAGAGGCGGCACCTCTGATGTTAGTATAACTTGGCCACCAAGTCCACTTATCCTGTGTCCAGCTCAGGTAGCTCACAAATGGTGCTATTCCTACTCTTGGAGTTGGTTTGAGCTGGAAATTTCTGCCTTGCAACCCAGAGCATGACAAATGGATGCCTAACACAGCAGAAAAGCCCCCCCCCCCCAGAGGTCAATCATCCTTGGGTAGGACTCAGTCTCCCAGGGATCCCAGTGTGCCCAGCCTACAGTTTCCACACTTGGTGTTGATGTTTATCCTGGGGGCAAACTGGCTTTTTGCAAGAATGATTAGTGGTCCAAGCTGGGAGAAGAGCTGCTGTGGGTAACTCAGGTCTTCAGGACACAAAAACACCAATCACCTTGTTCTACATTTCAGAACCCTGTTTCAGGGACATTAAGACAGCTCACTACATAAAGCTGTTTGCTGCCAAGCCTGACAACCCGAGTTCAATCCTCAGCACCCACATGATGGAAGGAAAGGCTTGACTCCCATGGGCTGTCTTCTGACCTCCACACATGCACCATGGTGTGTGTGTCCCCTACACACACGCAATAAGTAAATAAATATAAAAAAAAAAAAAAACGTCATCTTCACGTTGCTTGTCAAATAGTTGAAACCTCAGTGCAAAGTCATAGAAAAGAGGCTGAGGGCAAACAAAGGAAGCCTGGGAGAGGGGTCTGTGAAGGGAAGGACGATGTCTGGGAGGAAGGAGATGTTGAGAAGCAGGCCCTGCAGGCACACTTGCACCCGGGTGGAGGTAGAGAGGTGACACTCAGAACCAGGACCTCTGGTCTCCCTGTCCCTATAGCCCAGGACAGAGACTTGAGACAGGGGTACCAGTAAGTCAGGAAAGGTATTCAGAGGGGCTTCCATTCAGTAACAGGCATGGATATCTGTCTGTCTATGTGGAGCCAGGCAAGAGAGACACACATTCAGGACAGACCCCACAGAGGAGCCCTTTGGAGTCTCAAAGCCTTACCTAAATCCTGGGTTGTTAGCCTCCAACTCCCTGCACCATGGCCAGCTATGCAGTTTCAGGCTTGGGGTGGGGAGATGTACCCCAGTGCCCAGAAACATGCCAACATGCCAAGTCTCATCCAGCCTATCTTCCGCCTCAGGGCTGAATTATCCACTCAAAAACAACCAGGGTGTGCAGAGAGCTGAAACTCCATGGGAAAGTCATTGTCAAAAGCCCAAACCACTCCATCCAAAAGCAAGGAAAGGACCTCTGTGGTCATTCTCCAAAGATGAAACATAATGACCACCTAAACAAGGCATGCTGGGTAGTTTCTGTCAACTTGACATGAACTGAATCATCTTGGCAGAGAGAACCTCAACTGAGAAATTGCCTTTATAGGTTTCATAAGACCGGCCTGTAGGCAAGTCAGTAAGGGACTTTTCTTGATTAATGATGGATGAGGGAGTGGCCAGACCACTGTGGGTGGTGCCACCCCTGGGTAGGTGGTTCTGAGCTATATAAGAAAGCAAGCTGAGCAAGCCATGGGGAGCCAGCCAGTAATCAGCATCCTCCATGACCTTTGCTTAAGTTCTTGCCTCCAGGTTCCTGCCTAAAGAACAGAGAAGAGAAAAAGAAAGCAGCAGCACATGCACTACTCAGCCTTAAAAGAGAAGGCATTCTGATGTGCTACTCAAAAATCTGGAGACCACCACCGTAACTGAAAGACACTAGCTACTAGACAAACCTCAGAGGCTTTGGCTTTGGATAGTCAGAATACCATGAGGAGGATACAGAATGGTGGTAGCTGGGCACAGAGAGAGGGGATGGAGGTCCTGTTGAAAGGGGACAGAGTTCCAGCTTTACAGAAGCAAAGTGGTATGGAGATGCTGGGATGTGGTTCACCATTCTGAGGGAATCTAACATCATAGACAACACCACACATGGCAGATTTCATGTCATGTGTATTTATCACAATAAAACAAAGTGAGCCTGGTGTGGTGGTCAGGCATGATGGCACCCTATGCACCTGTAATCACAACAGTTGCAAGGCAGAGGCAGGAGTGCCTTGAGTTTGAGGCAAGCCTGATCTACATAATGAGTTCCAGGCTGGCCAAGACTATGTAGTGAAACTGTTTCAAAGAACCCACTACAGCCAGATGGTAGTAGCCCACACCTTTAATCCAAGCACTTGAGAGGCAGAGGTTTGTGTGTGTGGAAATCTCTGTGAGTTCAAAACCAGCCTAGTCTACAGAATGAGTTCCAGGACAACCAAATTTACACAGAGAAACCCTGTCTCAAAAACAAAACACACAAAAACAAAACAAAACAAAACCTCAAAACCTCTAAACAACCCAATACATATATACATTCATACACACATATATACAACACACACACACATACACACACACACACACACACACACACACACACTAAACACACATATATAATTTGAACCTGGCATGGTTGTTCACACCTGTAACTCTAGCACTCAGGAGGTGGAGGCAGGAGGATCACAAGTTGGACGACAGCCAAGGGTAAATAGTAAGATTCTTCCACAAATGATATTTTTATTTTTAGGAAAAAAAATGTGAAAAGTCAGTAACTCTAGGTGGCAGGGGTGGTGGTGGTGGTGGTGTCCTGAGCCCTGGGCAAGAAGCCTGATGTGACTTTCTGTTTTTCTTCCTCTGGTTTCCCCTACAGTGTCTTTGGAGCTTTGGGGTTGAAGGTGACCCCAAAGCCCCAGCTGGCACCCTGGATGCTCAGTGGAGGCAGTTCTGCCTTGCCTCCCTCCTCCCATCTCAGCCCTGCCTTCCTGACTCCTGCACCCTAAGGAAGTGCAGTCTGGAAGCCTCAGGCTCTGTCTGTATCAGCTGTCACCAGCTGACAGATGGCTTGGGGGCAGGGAGGGAGGACCTGGACCTTCATCTAATGAGCAAATATTGATGGAGCCTCCCCTCCGGCCAGGCCTCACCTGAGCGTGAGGGTTCTGGGATGAAAGAGACAGATGTTCTCCCAGGTAAGGTTTATGCTGGGAAAGCAGAAGCTAATCATGGAGCTAGTGGTCTGTGACAGACAGGGGCTCAGCAGCCCCGCTGGTTATTAATTTGGGGTTTTGTGCTGGGACATCTTT